TCTTTCTAATTGTATCGGTAAATACAAAAGATTTAACCATCCCATTACTAAACTGTTTACATTTACCAATAAAATTTTATTTATATTTTTATTTAACTCCTTGGTTGACTCACTTCAGCTAAGTTAGATAAAAAGGCTATTAAGTCCTGATCCAGGCAAATGGAAATGTATTCCATTATTTTATATGCATCCTATTGAGTATACTATATGTAGTCAAAGGTTAACTTAGAGGAGCATGCTTCCTTGAATAAATTACCAATATTCTATAGGAATTTTATTGATACGTGTATCCGTTATAATAACATACAGGAAATCAAACTGCATTGCATATGTGAGGTAAAACTACAACGAATTTGGGAAAATAAGAATATTACTGTAAACAATAAATCTCTTTTTAATAAATTTTGGATTGAGATAAATATACAAAATGTAGGTGACATCATTGTAAATGATAGAATTAAGCAGGTGAACGAAATAATTCCATCTCTCTCAAAAACACACGATGCTTTAATTGAGCATACAAAATTAAATGCAGCCATTCCAAGTAGTTGGAAAAATATTATCAAATATAATCCCTACTGTTTAACACACAGAGAAAACGATTGTAAAACAAATTATGACATTATTTTGAAGAAACAAAATGTTAAAAAATTCTACACATCATTTTTAAAACCAATATATAGCATACCAAATGTTGGAATCAAATGGAAAATGAATTACAAAACAATTCAATTAACTGGGAACATTGTCGGAAAGAGAAAGTACACTCAATGCTACATATTAAAAGGTTGCTCAATTTAATTATAAATTATTACACAGAATCTTGCCAACGAAAAGTCGGCAAAAGATCAAACACAGACTTCTGCGAAGCATGTAACGAAATAGAAAATGAAAAACATATGCACTTATAAAATCCGCATACGCCTTAAAACTAAAAGAAAATGCATACTTTTGGAGTCCGTACTGAGCCCAAAAAGTCTGCAATGAAACTGTTAAACTGTAAAGAAAATGATTCATGTTGGAAAAAATTCAATATTATATTACAATTGTGCCTAAAGAAGCCTGATAAAATAAAATGGATGAATATCGTACTTGCAAGCTGTGAAGAAGAAGAAGACAAATGAGTTAGTTTCAATTTTAACTTTTTGTATATTTAAATGTAAAGCGATGTATAGACTAAATCTAAGAAAGAAATGTCCTTGGACAATGTTTACATTTGAGTCTTGTCACTTGTGAGTTTTTAACAAACAAAGAAAAAGCCAAAAAAAGTGGTCAAATTTTGACTTTCAGAAATTTGGGAAAGCTTTTAATGTTGTTATTGTCAGGTAATTTTTGTTGTGTTTTGGTTTTTGTTTATTTCTTTATAAATATAAATTGATGTGTAAAAATATTTTAAGTTACAAAAATACAAAAAAAAAATTTTTTGGACAAAAAAGTGTATGTATTGCTCAGTAAGAGACCTGAAATTTACAAGACAAATATGCATAAAGAATTATGATGTGCCATATGTGATGAATAATAATTTTGTATTATTATGATTATGACATAATGTTTAACAAAAGGATCAAAAATATAAAAATGAAAATAATAATAATAATGAGAAATTGGTATCTGTGTATCTAAGGGCTTCTACAACCCGTCATTTTGTAAAAATTCTTGTATTTGTGTTAAATGAAAAAGTATTGAAATAAAAGTGGGCGATTCCCACAAAAGAGAAAAAAAAATTATTTTTATTTTCTCCTCCGTCTGAATGTTTTTGACAAAACTATTTGCTAAATAAGAAAATAAAACTTTATTTTTAGTTTGATTCCGCCGCCATCCTCTGATGATCATTTAAAAAAAATAAGTTCGCAAAGCAAGTAATGATAAAAGTCTCGCCTAACGAACAATAATAGTACATTCCACGATCTGGGGTTCCAACACATTACTCAACGCTATGGCATTCCGACTTGAACATTCTCAATTTCAACATTCTTTACTAAATTATATATTCTATGTTCTCTGACAGCGGAGTTAACGGTTCATAAAAGCCAAAAGCTCTGAGCGTGAGGAGGCAAAGCACCAGGGGCCTTTACCCCTGGACCCCTACTGGGGCCCACTCCGCCCCATGGCCCCCTGCATCTGTTTTTTCGCTTCACTAGCATACTTAACGCTCGCTTATTAGGGCCTCCAACAGCAGTCAGCGCCAGGGCCCCACAAACTCCGTGACGCCACTGACTACATTGCATACACTATGTGAAAAATAGCCGTCACTATTACGACACATTTCTGGTAAATTTATTAAGTGCTCATTTTATTTACCATGAATTACCATTACATCATTTCTATTAAATGTCCATTAGTATTTTTATTATTGCTATTATTATCTTTATTATATGCATTACTTCTATTTTGATAATTTTGATGGGCCGACTACTGTATATTTTAATCCACTATAAGTACAGTATATCAAGCGACCAAACAATAATGTATATTTGTAAGTAAGCCAAACAATTTGTATCAGCTATCTGATCACACATAAACTATTAGTTATGTAACTTCACACCTTTTTTTGTGATGCTAATATATATGCCAAAGTACTATGCAAGATCTGTTGTATGTTCAATGCACACTGAAGAAGGTTGCAGAGACGACCGAAATATTTGTGCTCAAATAAAATATATCTATGTTCCAGAAATTATGTTCCAGAAAAGTAGTTTCTACTTTTGATTTATTTTGTTTTGAATAATTTTTCGTATTTATTGTCTTTGTTTTTTAATTGTGTACTTTATTCCTAACTTGTGCAATCTCATTTATTCTTAAAAGAAATTTAAAATGATTAATACAGTAGCAGTGGTAATGACAATAAAAAATTAGTTAATTGTATAGTTGGATAAATTATTTTGCTTGTAGCTTAATAAATGAATTTTAATTTAATTAATTTTATTGTATTTCCACTTTGAATTTATTCTATAAATTTCATATATTGTAAATTCTTATATTGTAATTTTGTAATATATCTTTTTTGTAATGCATTTTTTCAGCTATTGCTGCCAGTTTGTATTTTCATATTTTATACCGAAATAAATAAAAAATAAATAAAATAAAGTCAACCCTTGCTTTCTGTCACTCGTGCTAGTCTCACTAAATGTTATATTATATATATATATATATATATATATATATATAAATCATCAAAGAAAGGTAAATACAGTGTTCGAATAAAGGACATAATAATACATCGTGTAACACAGCTCTCAACGAATGTAGTCCTGTAAATAAATGAATAAAGAAATCGTGTAATAAAATGCCTCTGGCGGGACTCGAACCTGCGACCTCTCGCTGTCAAGGGGAGCATCATAACCATTAGACCACGGAGGCTTCATGGTTGAACAGATTCAAATACCACCAGATACACTCCATTACACAATACGGCTAGAAACAAATAGTTGCATATAATATAAATCGAGATAGCCGTTAACACTGTTAAATTATTATAAGAGACAGTATATATATATATAAATCATCAAAGACCTTTCTTTGATGATTTATATATATATATATATATATATATATTTCATTACATTAAATCAACAAATATATTAAAAATATTCTTCAAAAAAAGTCAGCAAAGTTTTATCGGCCAATTTGTATGAGAGTATAACACGGCCAGAAGTAATGCCAGTTACTGTAACCTGTGTATGTTTCAATAAAAGTTTGAAAATTCCAATTTTGGAGTTTTCGCGTATAGTACGCAAAACCTCCTTAATCGGAGATTTGATTAGTCTAAAAGGCATTTTATTACACAAGTTGAATAAAAGTTTAAAAACCCCGATTTCGGGGGTTTCGCGTATAGTACGAAGAATCTTCGAAATCGGAGGTTTCGCGTATATTACGCAGAAACTCCGAAGTCGGAGGTTTGAATAAAAGTTTGAAAGCTCCAATTTTTGAGTCTTCGCGTATAGTACGCAAAACCTCCAGGATCGGAGGGTTAATTAAAGTTTTGCTCTCTCTATATATAGAGAGTTTTCGCGTATGGTGCACAGAAACTCCAAAATCGGAGGTTTGAATAAAAGTGTTAAAACTCCGATTTCGGAGGTTTTGCGTACTATACGCAGAAACTCCGAAATCGGAGCTTTGATTGAAAGTTTGAAAACTCCGATTTCGGAGGTTTCGCGTATAGTACGCAAAACCTCCTTAATCGGAGATTTGATTAGAGGCATTTTATTACACAGTTTGAATAAAAGTTTAAAAACTCCGATTTCGGAGGTTTCGCGTATAGTAGGGGTGGATTACATTGGATTTTATTCGGTGTAAACACCAAGGATAACCCACGAAAGTTTAAGACTTATTTCCAGTAGGGTCCTTCTGGTGGTAATTGGGCAGTACACCGGGAGACAATCTACTACTCTTTTCTAAAGAATGTACTGCGTTCTTTAACGTGCACACGGGACCAACAGCTTAAACGTCTCATCCGAAAGACGGTGCGCTATTATAACTTGTATTTCAGCCCTCCAGCGAAAAAGAGAGGCAGCGATGAGAATTGAACCGGGGACCTAGAGATCTCCACGGTTAAGCACACACAGCGGCTACCACCAACTTTGCCGACTGAGCTAAGCTGCGCTCTCGCAGAAACTCAGAAATCGGAGGTTTGAAGAAAAGTTTGAAAACTCTAATTTTGGAGTCTTCGCGTATAGTACGCAAAAACCTCCAAGATCGGCGGGTGATTAAAAGTTTTGCTCTCTCTCTTTATATATAGAGTATTTTTTTTAATCAGTTATCTGAGAACAACGTAAATTTTGGTCCATATCTAAGAGTCTTGAAGTGAGGAGGGGGAGATGGGGAGCGCAAAGGTGAAGAGGGGATCGATGATTAGGTGAAGGGAAGCCAGCTTAAATTGAAGTGATTTTTAACAACTTCTGCACTAGAGTGCCCCTTTACCATTATCTATGGGTCGCTGCTTTGTCTTGTGAACTCTTACTGACTGTTCGTGTTTTTGTTTTTTTTTTGGGTGGGGGGTGCAACTGGGGGACGCAAGTATTTTTAGGAGAGTGCGCCCCCTGCGCTATGGTGCCTCTTTACCATTATCTATTTGGTGCTGGATTGTCTTGTGAACTCTTACTGTCTGTTTGTGTTTGGCTACTGGAATCTCCATTGTTCGGCATAGCGCTCTCTTGAACCTCCTGCTCGACCTTAATCTCTTGAACCGAACTCTTGGAAGCAACACCCTTAGATGCTGAACTGCGTTTACGCTTTGTATCTGAAGAAAGATACGTAAAATAGGGGCTTATATAGTAAATTTGATCATCATGATGTTTGCTGATGATGTATGTCTGAAGTTCTTAAAAATTTAAATTTCCATTTTAATTACATTAATACAATATTAAAATAAAGATTTTGAGAAAAGCAGGTATAAGACACTGATAATACATGCTAAAATGTGATAGATGTAGACATTCTTTATTCCTTACTTATTGATTAATAATAAATAATTGTCATTTATAATAAATTTTATTCCGTTGCAATGGCTTATAATAGGCCTTTGTATCAGCCGCGATCACTGAAGTGGTACTTTCCTCATATCTACTACAGAATACTGGCTATTACTCTGCTCATTTCGCTGTACTGTACTACCGTAATGTGAATACTGATTTCTCACATGTGTGGCGTGAAAAGTCCTCGTCCAATATTTTGTAAATTCAGTGTTAGTGTAAAATTATTCTTTTACGATATTTCAATACCGGTAGGTAATAATATATCCTTTTTATTTCAACCGTGCATTTGGGAATCATGATCAGCTTAATATATCTAGAAGGGTATTAAACATAATGAAGATATATTACATAATATATAGGCATATATACAAATAATAAAAACTCTGACCCAGCGAGTACTAAACATACTGTACCTTTGGTGTTTGTGTTCCCCATTCAGAATTCGTTAAACGCTATCTGCAATATAAGTTATAACACAAATATATTTAGACAGGTGATCGTAGATCATACGCACCCTACACTGCTAATATGAGTATAGAGAAAATAGAAAACAGTGCTATTTTCTCTGATACGAGCTGGCTCTACTCATAGAGAATTCTGTATGCTGTACTACAGTACATAAGTACCAATATTAGGCAGATTGGTATTCACCTGGGTCTGGAAATAAAAATTCATATTTAGTCCCAATTTTTCCCAACGATTGGTATCTTCTTACTGGCTGCTAGATCACACTGCTTATTCCAGTAAACTTGCGCCTTGCGTTTGGAACGCAAAGGTGAAGAGGGGATCGATGATTTGATTAGATGAAGGGATACGTAGCGCCGTTTGGGACATTTACTATTTTGTTGACAAAATACCATTTTGTCTCGACAAAATACCATTTTGTCTCGACAAAATACCATTTTGTCTCGACAAAATTTATTTTGTTACGACAAAATGATATTTTTATAAAACAGAATTTATTTTGTCACCATAAAATGCTATTTTGTTAACAAAAGGACTTTTGTAGGTAACATAATTTATTTTGTCAACAGAACGAGGTTATGCAAATGAGGAGGCGGAGCTTCTTCTTGGTTGGATGAGGCGCTAATAAATCAACCTCTTTTGCTTTTGATCAATTACGTCATCTATATGCGGCACTCGTTTTGTTATTGTTCATAATGCTCGAGTTCGTACATTATAAAGATCGACACCATATTTGCTGTTTGTGTATTTTTAACATAAATTAACATATTTGTTTTACCAAGTCACTAACAACTCTTTTACGTGCGTTAGGACATTGGACGCATGAAAGATATCGATGGTAAAGCTTGGCTATGGCGAGCCTAGTTGTCATTTAATCGTAAATAGAGATATCATAGTTTTAAATAGAGATATCTTAATTTTCTCATTGACAAACGCCTGTTGGTGAGGGATTTATTATCATTCATAATATTTACCATATAATTATAAAAATTCAGATGGCAATATGATGACGTCAAAATGTCCGATCAGCCATAATGATCTATACAATCATATCTACAACCCATGTGTTTTCAGAATATGTAATAAAAATTGGGGGTCACATTTCCTCCTAAGGACGTTTGGACGGTAATGGCACAGGAAATTGAACCTTGTTAAGTGTCATTTAATTAAAAACGCCTGTTGGTCGGTAATTTTCCCTTTAATCCAACTATATTATATCAGTCCAATAGCGTCGAAATAAAGTCTGCCGCCCTCTGTCTGGAACTTCGTACATTGACCGTCATGTAGCGCTCGCGGTGCTGATTGAAAAGTTTCATATGCTAAAATCCTAAGGAACTATAACTGATTGAAAATAGGCATGATATTGGCATATTTTTAGTGTTTGTCGACAAAAACGCGCACAAGGATTTGACCATGATGCCGTCATCAAAATGTAAAAAAAAGTCACTCTTATGAAACGGAATTGTCTCAGCTATAACATACTCAAAGTTGGAAGACGATCGATTAAAGATAAGTGAGAAATTTGTGAATACAGTGTCAGAAACCTAAAGCATGTAAAAAAGCGAAATTTCCAGCTTCCGTATGTGCTCCGCGTGTAAAAATGCGTGCGCGGTGCGGAAAATTTGAAAAATGTTGAAATTCTCAAAATGGCCTGAAACGTGCTCTAATTTAGTCAAAAAGTGATTTTTAGCATTTTAAAATTTTGACGCACGTGTACGCGCGTGTTATGACGTGCACGTGCAATATTTTGGTACGTGATATTCAACCTTGATATGAAGTTTATGTCCACTGAATATGATTTAGAAATGACAATTGCTTAGGACGATATGATCGATAATGTAAAAACGCAAAATTGCGCGTAAATGACGTCAGGCATGACTGAGCACATTGAAAACTTTATTGTGACTATTCCAGGCCAAGCCAAATGTTCGTTGAAGCGCGCACGAACGTAGCTCGTGCCAATTTTGAGATATCGTGCTAACAAGAAATGGGGAGAAAGTGTAGAATTAAAAAAAATGATCTTTGACAATAACAATAGGTGATCCGCTAGTTATGCGGATCACCGAAAAAAAAAGATGATGATCCTGACAATAACAGTACGTTATCCGCATTAGATGCGATTACCAATCACCAATTACATTTCAAAGAAATTTAAAAACTACATTTTGGAAAATTTAAACTGCGTTTTGCAAAATTAGAACCTCATTTTGGGAAACTACATCTACATTTTAAGAAATACGCCTACATTTTGATAAATTAGACACTGAATTTTGCAATAACATTTTGATTTTAACATGGACTTTTGCTGCGTATGGCACCCCATAGCCTGGGTTCCAGGCCCTGATTTTGGGTTACGCACTCTTTATTGCATTTAGTGCGCGCCATACTTAATTTAATTGGCGTCCCATACTCGATTTCTTTTTTCGGATTATTATTCCGTCTCTAAATTAACTTTCTCGTTGGTGGCACTGTCCAGAATGGCTGTCCAGAATGAGAAAAATAATTTAAAAAAATAAGAGTGTTGTGGCAAGTCTGGGCACCCCCATAAATGACAGCAGCATATTTTGTACTAGTCTCGTTCGTTTGCAATTAAAGTTCAAAGACAGTATTTTATAGAAAAACCCCGTTTTTTGCCAACTGTTCACCTTAAATTCAAGAAAGAAACCACTGAGCTCTACCAGGAAGAGCATAAATCTGTTAAAAACGAGATGAAAAAAAATTGCAACCAATTAAAATAACTAAATATTAACTATGAACTGACAGCAGATGAAAACAGAGAAAAAACATTGAATTAAACTATGATTTGCATTCGAAACGCTTATCAACATTGCCTACAGGATGTCAATAAAGTATCGTTTCGTTCGTTTCGCTGAAATTTGCGGGTTCAGTTGTAAACCTATAGTACACAGGATTCATATGGTTATAGTAACAATATGCTGCAAGTCTTCTCTGGACTTCTTTGGTGACTACTGTCGCAAAACAGTCCTTATACGACTCTACTCGTGGTACAAAATGTCCGTGAGTGTGCATGTTCTCCTTGTTTATGGAACACAATTCTTTTGTGTTTAGCACTATCAATTGGTATGTGATGAGAGAAGAAGCTCAAGAAGCAAGGAACAAGGACAATAACAGGGGTGGATCCAGAATTTTTCAAACGGATGGGAGGCACAGCATATTTAGAATAGAAAAGTGAGCAGCTCTAATTTCAATATATGCATTGAAATTTAAAATACAGTGGCAAAACGCCTCCCCTCCCCCTACTGGATCTGCGCCTGAATAAGGCAAGAAAGACATCTAGTGTCGACAATATGAGTGATGTTTTTCATCGTTGGATGGTAACAGGAGATGTTGTTATCAGCAGTATTTCGTTCAAAACTCCACAGTCAAAACCTCTGCCACGTGAAGTTCAAAAGATGTTAAAAGACCCTCCAGTCATTCAAGACAGAGATTCTTCTAACAGTGACGCATGATAAGAAACACAAAAATAGAATACAGTATTAGACACGACAATTGGAACATTTTAAAAGGTAGGACATTAAGTTGAAACTCTATCTCAGTTTGACATTTTTTTAAATTATAAAGTACGCACCTTTCATGATGGAGTTAATATCAAGTTTAACATGAAAAACAACATCAAAACTAGGGGTGCCGCCACCAGCAGGGGTGGGGGCCGTCGGAGAGAAAAATTACAATTCGTCAGGGAGAAGAAAAAAATATATGTGTTTTGTACATTAGTAAACTCAATCGAATAAATAAACCTTTGAAATACACATTTTAAAGATTCTTGCATTCAGAATCTACAGGTCGGAAAACCCCTTATATGTTTCAATAATCAATGTAATATGACTCTGCCTAGGTAATACCAAGCAATCGCCTCATCCAATAAAAAAACAGTATTTTGATGAGTCATACATATTTGAAAATAGTTTCATTGAATCCGACAGGTTTGAAAACAGTCTTAACATTAACCTAATCAGTATTTTTTATGAGTGTTGACTTTTGGCATATTTTGAACCAATTCTGACCCACTGCATGTGCGGCGTTGTAACATTTCGTCATGGGTAGACGACAAAATGCCTTCCCACAAAACACAGTCATGTGAATACTTGTTTCTCTCACTAGCTATTTTACCGTTTATGGTCTCAATGTACAACGTGCTATAAAATGCTTTTTTGGAATAATGAATATAAACATATAGGCCTATATACCTTTTGTTTAATGTTGTTCAGTTTTTATGCATCGTCGGAGATAAATTGTATCTGCTAACACCATCAAAACATACTTCACTTCATTACAGGATTTTGTAAAACATAATTCCACTTCATTAAGCATGATTCCGTTTTATTAAACAACAATTCATTCAATTTAATTTTCTTCCGTCAGGTATTTACATTTGCTTCATGCCAAGGTATAATGTATTACAAATATACTTTTTTTTACAATATGAAATTGTGAGAAAAATAGGGAGAAAGTACTAGGAGCCTCAACACTATTTTTAATACACATATTTTTTAATTCCAAAAAAATTACTGGAATCTATAGAAAGTTTAATTAAATTTGTGAATTTAATAGCGTTTCTTTCCAAATTGAGTTACTGATTTTTGTGCTAACAACAACGTGATATGCAACCCCTAGAGCCCTTCCCTGGTTCTTAATCGGAAGCCCGCGGTCCAAATTTGTCCCGCAAGGCAAATTCATTTGGTCCGTGAGGGAAAAATACATTCAAAAAACATTAAAGGTTAGATGAATACATTTTCAATGACATAAAGACAAAAATGCAGCCCCTGAGCAATGTGAGCGGGGTGGTTTCAAAATGAGCAAGATGATATAGGCTTGCCATAAATAGAAAAAATAGCGCCAAAATCGGGTGATTTCGGTGGTTTTATTCTTCAAGTATGTTTCCAACGAGCAAAAAAAAAAAAAACAAAAACAAAAACAAAAACAAAAAACAAAAAACAAAAAAATTCACTCAGAATTATTAAAAAGCTCCGAAGATTGGTGTTCTTAATAGTTCTCCTAAAGTAGACATAACAATTGCAGGGTGCTGAAGTTAAAAACAGCGAAATTTAGGTTATTTAGGTTATTTTTCAATACGGTGCTATTAAAAATACATTTCGGTAGTCCTACATTCTTACTATGTACATAATGAGGAAAACGTTTTGCATTTCTCAAAACATATGTCGAGACATGACGCGTACGGCAGGTTTTTGTATTGTGATCATCAATTACATTGATAACGAGATTCACCAAAGTCGATTAACGACTGTTGAACTTGATGACACGTCCACACAGTAATTTCTCGCGACGACCCAATTTTGGGTTATGACTTCTGGTGCAGGCATAGTACAAATTAAAAGCATAATATAAAAAAAAAAAACCTTTCAAATTATAGATCTATCTTAGCGGAAATAGTTTCACCCAGATGTATCGATTGTTTGGCGGATTATATCACTGTGTTTCGTCAAAAGACATCTTTTAAAGTCGTCATACAGTATTTGCATTACACCGGCTTAAGTGCCGCCAAGTTTCATCTTTGTATGTTATTCTGTTCATTGTGATTTGTTAACAATATTTTTTACTTTACACAGGTAATAAAAAGTTAGTTTACCAAAAGGCAGTGCTCGTAAAAATACATTTCGCTTGTCCTTTATTCGTACTATGTACCCGAATATGTACATAATGAGGAAAACGTTTTGTATTTTTCAAAAAATATGTCGAGACATGAAACCTACGGTAGGTTTTTGTACTGTGATCATCAATTACATTGATAAAAAGACTCACCAAAGTCAATTAACGACTGTTTCACCCAGATGTATAACGATTGTTCGGCGGAGATTATATTTGGCCCGTGAGATCAACTTTTAGCAGATAGGCATATTCATAAAATATCTATAGATTAAGCATCCTGCCATAGAGAGCAGTTGATCATACACAATAACTCGAGAAGTAAAACTCTCCTCAGGCAGCTTTCCGGTTATTTCCTAGTCTAGGGTTTGAAGCCAGAATAACGTTTGTTTTTTGTTTTTTATTCGGTTTCAACATTAATACATATAGCATTACAAATGTCAATGGCGTGAATATTATCTAGTCAAGGTTGAATAAGGCAACAATGTAATAGTGCATTTGTTAATGTGTTAATATATTTTCCATACTCAATTATCACTTTAATTTTTACAGGAAGTGGGAGGGCGAGATTTTTTGCTAGAAGCTGATGCACTTACGTCCAAGGTGCGTAAGATTAGAGATAAATTACCATTTTTAATGTATCGGTCATACAATGACATTTTCACTTTAATTATTTTCAGCTTCTCGACTATGTGGACTCGACTTAGATCGCAACCGATTTCAGGCAGTCTATGAAAACAAACGACGCAGAGGCAACGGCGGCGGAAGCGGGGAGAGGGGAACATGGGGCCATTGGCCCCTCCACTTTTTCTACTGGGTGTGGGGGGGGGGTAGACATTGTCCTCCACTTTTGTGACTGTTCCGAGCGCCAGTGACATACATGACCGAGTCGAGTGGCCGAACGGTAAGGCAGGGGCGCCGCTAGCTACAGCCTTAACATCGGCGCTGGTTCCAACCGCTCCTCGCCCATGGTTCGGTTGGTAGAACCAAGTCGTCTAGGATAAGGACTTAAAATGGAGGTCCAGTGTATACATCTGGCTCGTGTGCACTTTAAAGTACCCACTGCATCTTTCGGAAGAGTAGGGGGTTACCTCGATGTTATGGTCCATTTCAGAAACTGTCGTTTTGGAATTATGTGAACATGTATCCACAATGAAGCGCCTATTTACGGCTGTTATACTATGTAGTCACGTACCACGCCCATACGCAATTCAGCACAATGACGCTGCAAGTTATGGGTTACACTATTTCATCAAGGATACCCTCATAATGGTTTGAAAATTGTGATCGCGACTTCGAATTTTGTTGGATAATTTAAAAAATGTCCAAGAATCTCTGCTTACCAAATCGTGGTTTTGAAAGTAAATTAAATTTGAAACTATTAATGACCTACAGTATTTACAGTACATGTACACTGTTGCTGTAGCCAAGATTTTCAAAACAGTGTGGGACAATTCAATAGTGGAAACAATCAAAGAGTGAACCCATTTTTAACGCGTGTTATTTATACATTTTATATACTGTATTTTAAAATAAATATTAATAAGCCAATACGCGGCCTTTTTAAAAACAGTAAGCCAATTCCTAGCTTTAATCGCGCTTGCCCGTATCAAGGTCAATCGACAAAAACAAGCATACACACAAAAATACATTAAAAATAATGCTAAAGCCTCTCAAGAAAATAGCTTGATTGACTGACCCTAATCCACCTTAATTGTTTAGGGTTGAGGTTGAAAAATGTAAGGATTTCTTAACATAATGTGTACATTTAACACGTCATAATAAGAGATTGTTAAATTTTAATTTCCATGTTAAGCCGCGACTCTGGTCGACTGAATATAAAAATAAGCTACTTATGGCTCAATTGTGTGCTTATTGTATTTGTTGTTTCTTTTGTTATTGTATTTGGACTTTATTTCAATGTGTTACTTCGCCTGCGCTTTGGATCTTTAAAGGCGCATTATAATAATGCACAAGCCTATGTCTATATCATTAGTACTAGTAGATCGGCTAACGTTGAATTTCAGGTCGAATCGTGCATTTTTGCAAGAAGCATGAAATTTCCAACAATGATAAAAAAAATAACGCCTCCTACTGGCCGTCATCTTGAAATCCAATACGGCCGCCAAAATATATAATTTTAACCAATATATTCATAGCTGTCACAAGTATGGACTAAGCAGGTTAGTTAGGCCTATATATATATATATATATGTATATATATATATACATACATATATATATATATATATAAATGAACATTACAATTTAGTAAAAGACACAAATATTAGGGGAAATATAAGCCTAAAACGCGATCCTTAAATAAAATACAAGTTCATCGCAACCTGATGCTGCCAGCATTTTAAGTAATTTAATTATTGTTTAAGTAACTACTAGTAAACAACATATATGGACAAAATATGTCCAACTAGGCTATACTATTTAATAATAATTAACAAGAACTGATATTAAACAACACTATTCAATTTACCATTTTAGACATCTAGTTGTATCTAAAATGGGCCACTACTTAATTTGTGTAGGCCTAAGACCTACCTATATGTGTTCACTTAAGTCCAAAACGTGTCACCAATTGTTCTAACAAAATTGCATTTGTGCAAAACCATCAATATTCCTGTGTCAACTTTCCTCCAAATAACTATTCTATAACTAGCCATAAATATACCTAATATTACACTAATTAAGGGATTGTTGATAATACCTCAATTTCAACTTAAAATTCCAAGAAAAAAATAGCAAAACAGTGAAATGTTGTTACCTTGTCGTAGAAATTGTTTAAATGACTTCAAATGGTACTATCAATGGATCAACTGTATGAAATCATTGGTAAATGCATAGTAAATATAACCACTCAAGCCAAGGGGGCGTGGCTTCTCATGGTGATGTCATGCGTAATTTCAGCAACTGCTCTCGTCTTTATTCCTAATCTGCTCGACAGAGAGTGGGCCCTGGTAATCACACGGTACAGTATCGTACATCCAATGTACTAACAAATAATAACGGATCTCTTTAATATTTATGGAAACTCGCTGGTCTTATTTTAGGGATAGGGATAAGGCCTTAATCATAGAAAGAAATGAAAACTGTCAATGATCTAATACTACATATTACCAGGGAACAGTTAACTGTTCCCTGATATAACTTTAATATTTATTCAATTTTAATCAGATAAACAATTTATCTTACTGGAAGAAACAATAGGCCTAATAAATCAAAATTACAACTTTTTCAACATGACTCCTGAAGTTTTGATTTATTATTACCCAGTCAGCAGCAGGCTGACTGGGTTCTGTTTTTGAGCAGTTTCTTCTTTCTCTCTTTCTGGCAACATTTTAGTAGGCTACTAGTGGCAAACTACTGGACCAATTAAATTAAAACTTGCTCAGTAGGACCGGTGCCACCTCCCATTTATGTGTTGTTCACAACTTGAGGTCAAAAACAAACAATCGTATAAAAAAACCACTTCTCTCACAAATAACGTAGCAGTCTTGTCCTTTGCACATATACATTGGAGTCTATAGGGTGTTCAGGGATAAGGGGTCAAAGGTCAATAAGGGGTAATTTTTATCTTTTTTCTGGGAACATTTCAAAACGCTACTAGTGCCAAACTGTTGTACCGATTTCAACCAAACCTGGTCAGTAAAACCGGTGACACCTCTCATACATGTGGTGTTCACTGCTTGGGGTCAAAAATCACATAGGGTCATTGGGGGTAAAACAATTTTTTTAATGAATAAAAGACTTCTGTAACAAATAACATAGCACAGTCTTGTCTTGGGCACATGTGGCATAAGGTAGAGTCTTTATAGTGTTCAGCGATTTAGGGTCAAAGGTCATTAAAGGGTTATTCTTTTGTTCTATCTGGTAACATTTCAAAATGCGACTAATGACAAACCATTGGACCAAACTCAATCAAATGTAGTTTCAAGAACCAGTGACACTTCCTACACCCCAGTTTGGGATCAGAGGTCACATAGGGATCATCGGGGTTACATTTTCAAAATAGTGCAATTGAGCTCAAATTTACCAGGAATGATCCCAAAATGTTATTAATGGCAAACGATTGAACCAAATTCAATCAAATTTGATCATCAAAAACCAGTGACACCTCCTACACCCTAGTCTGGGATCAGGGGTGTAGGAGGCATAGGGGTCAAATTTTCAAAATAGCCCAATTGAGCTTGAATTTACCAGGAATGATCCTAACATGAAAAAAATAATCTTCGCCTATAGGTCAAAAGTCATAAGGGTCATTATGGTGAAAATTATCAAATATTGCTAGTGACTAACGATTGCATTGGAAAGACTCCTACCAAACATGGGGTGTTCACAGCTTCAAGTCAAAGGTCACAGTGGTCATCTTAGGGTCAAATCCTGAAAAATAATTGGGTTCATGTTCTATTATACATCTTATCTCTAGTTTTTATTTTTTTACTACTTTAAAAAAATTTTCATGTTAAATCAAATATATTAACTTTCCCATGTCTGTGCTGTACTGTATATTGTATAAAAATATTCAATAAATTAATATTCAGTACAGGATCTTTAGTCGCTCCTTCCAGAGTCTTACAAACTGATTTGCATAGGCCTTGTAAACGAGGCCTAAACTACAGCAGGAACGGGTAGTTGGACTAGTTCAACTATAATACCTTCATCCTAGGCTAGGTCTCTACTAAGGAGGCCTTCTGGTCCGACCTGGCAGCCAAGGCCTACGATCGTCCATAGTTGGGCCCGATCATCCGGAAATGGACCCGATCGTATGTCACCCGGCCGTAGCAGACAGCACAAAACAAAGCCTCAGCTTGCTCGCTCATGGCCGGCGGAAGCGGGGGGCCCGGGCCCCCCACTTTTTGGCGAAAAATATATAATGTCTGGAGATTTTTGTATGATCGAAAATGCAAAAAAAGGAGGGAAGAAGGATGGGAAAGAGAATGTTTATCCAGTACAGGACCGAGTTACATTTTCTCGCAATTCATATTGGCGGATCTGGGGGAGGGGTCATTGGTCCTGACCTCTCCCTTGGGCAACAAAAAAAAATGGCAAAAACAAAAGAATTCTAGACCTACCTTTTCAGGACCCGTCAGCTGATTTTTTTTTTTTTTTTTTTTTTTTTTTTTTTTGCTATTAGAAAATTCGAATTTTGAAGAACATAAAATTCATTAAAACACACTTCAAATGTCGGAAAAGCTCATTTCCCGCTATCTAGGAATCAACATTTTCCCTGGGAAGAACCACAGGACCTCCCCCTTCTTTTTGGGATTTATCGATTCATGGAAAAACTACGTATGCCACTTACTCAATCTTTTTTTTATGTATGTATACACACATAAGGCCTATTTACTGTAATAACAATGGGAAAAAATTATCTGAAAGTTTTCAAGAGTGGAAAACC